AATTTTGAAATACTATTAATTATTAAAAATAAAATGCAAAGTTAAAATAGTCAAATCTGTTAGGTACTGACTCTTTAAAAATCAAAACAACATATCACATTAAGTAAAATATTTTTAGCTGCAGCAACTCAAACAACATACCACTAAATCAATAAGAATTACACAAGCAATTTATCATATGTGACCTGGTCTACGGAAAGTGGGCTTAGGTGTCAAAGAAGCCAAAAAATCAATTTTCACTTTTTAGTTGATTCGGATGGAAGATGAGATTTTTAACAGCTGTTTCCCAGAAAACTACTTTTCACACGTTAGCTCCCTTTTCGTAGACCAGGTCACATTGTATATGCATGGCCTATATGAGCATGCAGTTACAGCTCATGCAATATTTACATATATCATCAGCGTTACAATAACTTGACTAAGACTAATTGAAATGTTTTAACAAAAATTATAAAAATTCAAATTGCATTCTTAACCTCATATTAATTGCAAACAGCTTTTTAACTCAACAAAATCATTTATTTAAAAATTTATTTATTTAAACATATAATTTAAATATTGTAAAGCAGTTTTATATTCGATTATATTCTACTTTTTTATTTAAGCGACAAGCAGCCTTCCTTTAAACACTTTCAAATGCTCGCTTTGCATTTCGAGTTCAATTCGAAAAAAAAAATCGAGCCTTTCTTTTTTCTGTTCTTGTTGTGTTGCTGTTGGTATTAACTTAATTTTTTGTTGATTTATGCATAACTTTTCTTATTGAAAATATGCATTTAACTAATATAAGGTTTCAGCGCCTAAAAGCAGTTTAAGTAGAGACTCGCATATATTGGRTAGTCGAAAAARTCTTTTCGTATTTTGTCAAAAAATATCGTTGCAGTAATATATCTCCAGTGCTACCAATCACATTGTGTCATACCATATATAATAGTGTTAGAAAGGGGAAACTTTAAGCTTCATTTAAMCCAAAAAATTATTTTCGGGGAAGTTGAAAAAAAGTTACAGCTGTTCAAAAACGAATGAAAATGATAAAGAAATTCGCTATATTTTGAACATTTTTTTATAATATAGTGAAGAATGCTAAGCAAGCAGCCAGTGAAATTTGTGAAGTTTACGGAGACGATGCTGTATTAGTTCTTGTAGCACAACAATGATTAGCTCGCTTCCGTTATGGAAATTTCAATATGAAAGATGACTCTCGCTCTGGTCGACCTATCGTTGAAAAAGTCGATAAAATTATGGAACAGGTTGATCAGGATCGTCACATAAGTAACCATGACGCTAAGGCCTTTAACATACATCATCAAACGGTTTTGAACCACTTAAAAATGGCTGGCTACAAAAAGAAGTTTGATGTTAGGGTACCACATGAGTTKTCTGTGAAAAATATAATAGACCGAATTAACATCTGCGATTCGTTGATGAAACGAAATGAAATCGAACCATTTCCGAAGCGAACGGCAACAGGAGACGAAAAGTGGATCAAATACTACAATAATGTGCAAAAAAGACCATGATCCAAGCGTGCTGGAGCTCAACAAATGGTCGCAAAGCCAGAATTGACCCTTCGAAAGGTTATGCTGAGTGTTTGATGGGATTGGAAAGGAATCATCCACTATGAGCTACACCAGCCTCCAGTCGAACGATTGATTCTACATTTTACTATCAACAACTGATGAGATTGAAGTAAGCAATCGAAAAAAAAAACAGCCAGAACTGATCAACGGAAAGGGCTTCGTCTTTCATCTGGACGCTAGACCACACACATCTTTGATSAGTCGGCAAAAACTGGGAGAGCTTGGCTGGGAAGTTTTGCTGCCACATAGTCCTGACCTTGCACCATCGGATTACCATTTGTTTCGGTCAATGCAGAACTCCCTTAATGGAGTAAAGTTGGCCTCAAGMGAAGCCTGTGAAAATTACTTATCCCAGTTTTTCGCCGAGAAACCAGAAAAGTTTTACACTGATGGAATAATGTCGCTAGCGGAAAAATGCCAAAAAGTGGTCGAC